TGGAGAACCCACCAAGTATATGAAATGCTCAATAGTCAAAAAGAACTCACCTGTCCTCATTGGATCTCCAGGAGCCCAGCCACACACATCCTAGCCGCTCTTCCTCCATATTCTACTCTCTTTCCTCTGAGACCCGTCTCCGTCAGGTCCTCAGAATCCCCTGACCCAAGCTCCTTCTCACAGTGCCTCCCCCTCCACTCATACCAGGGATTTCAGCTAGACCTGTCCACCTTCTCTGGACAACTACGTCAATGGCTGCACCCCAAGTTCAAGGAGTTCATGGAGAGCTCACATTTATGTGTCAACTCTCAAGCACCTTTCCTCTCTCAATGAGGAATGCTTTGGGGATTTTTTTGTTTTAGTTTTTGTTGTTTTTGTTGTTATTATTTTCTGCTGGTGGTGGGGCTTGAACTTAGGGGTCTTGGTGTTGTCCCTGAGCTTTTTTGCTCAAGGCTAGAGCTCTACCACTTGGGCCACAGCTCCACTTCCAGCATTTGGGCAGTTAAATTGGAGATTAGAGTCTAATCTCCAAAGATTAATCTTTTTGGGCTGGATTCAAACCAGGATCCTCCAATCTGAGCCTCCTCAGTAGCTAAGATTACAGGCTTGAACTACCAGTGCCCAGAGAAAAATGCTTTGTTAGTGCTCCTATTTACACAAAAGGAAATGGAAGCCCAGAGAGCTGACATCAATCCTCTCCATCACTCACAGAGACGCCTGGAGGGCAGGGCCTGTGTTCCATTCCTCCTCTGCCAAGACTTATGTTCTCAAGAATTGCATGTGATTCTAAAAATTGTCCCACGAGTCTTGGCTTGGAATGTTTCCAACAGAACACTGTTTCTCAAACTTGGCTTTTTGTAAGACAGATCTAAGATGCCAGTTAAAAATAATGTAGACTTCCTGGAAGATCGAAGTCTTACAATCTTGGGAAGGGTTTGGGGACCCAAAGATACTAGACAGGTGTTCTACCACTGAGCTATATCCCCAGTCCCCTCCCCATTTTTTGTTTTATTTTAAGTAGGATCTTGCTCTCTAGCTCAGAGTGGCCTTGAAGTTAGGGATTTGGAGCAATCTTTCTGCTTCAGTCTCCTGAGTGCTGGGATTACAGCATCATTTCTCTGAGTTACATACACATATTTTTATATATATATATATATATATATGTACATATCTTTTTATAGATATATACATGACTAATATTAAAGCCTGAGTTCAGGGCTTCCTGCTTATTAGTCATTTTACCACTAGAGCCATACCTTTTTGTTTTGGATATTTTTTTTTTCATTCCAGCCTCCACTTGATGAAATCCTCCTACAATCTCCTTCCCACAAAGCTGGGATCATAGGCATATGTCAACACATTTCACTTATTGATTGAGGTGGGGTCTTGAGAACTTTTGGTTGTGCTAGCTTCAAACTGTGATTTTCTTGATCTTGATCTCCGAAATAGCTGGGATTACAAGAATGAGCCACTGTGCCACCAAGGGACCTTCAGCAATGCTTATTATCAGGCAAATGGCAAAATCTTTGTTTGCTTTCAAAAGATATATTTATATTGCTCTGGGCCAGTACAGTTGGGTCTGTTCTCACGGGGGTTCAGTGGCTGAGATCTGCACATTTTGAAGCATCTGGAAGGACTAGAAACTTTCAAAATATAAGCATCTGGCCAGGCACTGGTGGCTCATGCCTGTAATCCTAGCTACTCAGGAGGCTGAGATCTGAGGATCTCAGTTAGACAGCAGGAAAGTCTATGAGACTCTTATCTCCAATTAACTACCAGAAAACTGGAAGTGACACGGTGGCTCAAGTGGTAGAGCACTAGCCTTGAGCAAAAAAGCTCAGGGATGGGGCTGGCAAGGTGGCTCAGTGGTAGAGCGCTTGCCTTGCATGCCTGAGGCCCTGGGTTCAATTCTTCAGCACCACATAAGCAAAAAGAAAAAAGCCGGAAGTGGCACTGTGGCTCAAGTGGTAGAGTGCTAGCCTTGAGCTGAAGAGCTGAGGGACAGCGTCCAGGCCCAGAGTTCAGGCCCCACGACCGAACCCCCCCCCAAAAAAAAAAAAAGCTCAAGGACAGTACTCAGGCACTGAGTTCAAGCCCCACAAATGCCCCAAAAAAAGTATCTATCTATGGTATGGACAAAGTAATCCTGTGCCCAATACGTAAAGAAGAGGTCTAAATATGTCTGTGATTAACAAGATGCCCAGCCCTGAAGGGCTGCCCAACAGACAAGGCCACTGGAGTAGGCCAGCTTCCTGCCCCGCACCTAGGTCTGTGCAGCAAGTGCTCCAGCCAAGAGGGCACAAACTCCATCCTCCACCTCAGATCCTATCATTCACCCAGGCCTCAGTATTTTCCTATGCAAAGCCCTAAACAGGGAGGAGGTGGCTGAAGAGGAAAGCTTGATCAATTTGGGGTTTGTGGTGGGTGCTATCCAGAACCTTCTGTTCACTCTACCTGTGGACTCTGATCCCATAGGAGGCCCCACTAAGTAAGGGAAGTTGCTCCCTGCCTTGTGGAAGATAGGTCATCTGGGGAGTGAAGGGCAAGGAATAGATCCAAGTCCTTAACCTCAACTGACAATTGTTTCTTTATCCTTTTTTAGTTTTTTTCAGTACTAGAATTTGAACTCAGGGCCTTGCTTGCTAAGCAACTATGCCTCATCTCCTCAGTGATTCTTATGGCTCATTAAGTGTTCATTGGCCTTTAGGTCCCAGGAAGCTCTTGGCCTTTTTCTCTTAAGGTTATGTCCTGCCCGGGGGGCTGGTGGCTCATGCCTGTATCTCAGCTACTCAGGAGGCTGAGATCTGAGGATCGAGGTTCAAAGCCAGCCTGGGCAGGAAAGTCCGTGAGACTATCTCCAATTAACCACCAGCAAACCAGAAGTACCACTGTGGCTCTAGCACTAGCCTTGAGCTGAAAAGCTCAGGGACAGTGCCCAAGCCCAGAGTCCAAGCCCCACAATCACCACCACCACCAACAAAAAGGTTATGTCCTACTCCAACTCCCCATGCAAGTTATCTGGGCTTTGTTTTTACTTTGTGCCAAAAGCTAGTGCAGCCACAAAGTGAAAAATACAAGAAAGGAAGAGGCCTATAAGTTTCAGTATTCATGATCATGGTCTGCATTTCCTCGTTTCTTGATGTTTTGTTTGTTTTGTTTTTTGGTTCCAGTACTGCAGCTTGAACTCAGCTTTTTCATTCAAGGCTGGAGCTCTACTACTACTTAAGCTATAACTCCACTTCTGGCAGGTGACAGGGACTTGATGAAAACTTTTAGAGGTAAAATCCCACCCCCAGGTAGATTCCTAGAAGCTGGGGCAGGGACTTGAACAATAGATTACCAGACCTGCCATACCTGTACCATGAACTGAGGAGACTTTGAACTCGAGCTCCTTGTGACCCTATCTCCTGACTGTGGCCCTATTTAGGCCCCAGCACTTCAGCTGCCAATGCACCATGTCTCCTGCCTCCAGCCTCTCCTCCGGTTACCATGGCATCCCTCTTCAACTTCCCATTAGAGTTGATCTAGTTTTTTCAGAATGTTTTTCTGCTCTTTCTTTACCACCCTTGTGGCTCAGTTTCCTATCAGTTTTAAGTGCATTGAAGGCTGCAAGTTTTGGGGGGACATGTATCTGCTCATAGTCACTGGCTTTCTAATAAAGACTCCAGGTTCAACCACTCAAAATGTGGCTTCTCTGTATCTCCCCATCAAATTACTGTCAAGTAATATGAGTCTCACAGATTTTTCCAGCCCTGGCTGGCTGAATCTCTATCCTCAAGTCTCAGCCTCTGGAGTAACTAGGATTACAAGCATTAGCCACTGGTACCCAGCTCTCATTTTCTGGTTTAAACAGAGTCAAACACCAGACCCCACCCTTCCTTTTATCCCAACACGTCTCAGAAGTCAATGTTCCAAATTCATGGAGTGACCTCGAAATCATGAACCCCTTAAGGAATCTCCAAGTGCTGATGAGCCTCATTCTCCAGTGGCTATGCGACAGGGTCCTGATTCCCTCCTAGATGAGGTAGCAGGACGCCCATTGTTTAGCATTCAGGTTCTGGAGCCTCATTCATCACTGAGTGCAGTGCATGACCTCAGGAAAGATATGCAATTTATCAAGGCCTTAGTGTTATAGACTGCAATTGTGCCACAAACACGATTCATATATTAAAGACCTAATGCCCAATGTGCCTGTGATAAGGCTGTTTTGGGCCTTACTCCAACAGCTCTGCTGACTTCATAAGAAAAGGGAGTGCATACCAGCTTTGTTCTGTCTCTGGACATGTGCAGACAAGGGGCCATTTGAGGACATGGGGGAGGCTGCTGTCTCCAAGCCAGGAAGAGCAGCCACACCAGAAACCAACCCTGATGGCACCTTGATCTTGGACTTTCATCCTCCAGAATTGTGAGGAAATAAAAGATCTGTTGTTTAAGTCACCAGTCTGTGCTATTGTTATGGTGGTCCAAGCTGACTAATGCACTCCATTTCTTTGTTTAAAGAGATAAAACTAGAACTTGCATCATGGGTTATTTTGAGAACACAATGAGGAAGCACACAGTAATGCCTGCCTGTTTTATTTTCTACAGATGTCTTCACCACCTGGAATAGCACCTAGTAGATAGAGAGTGTTTGGTAATGTGTCCACTGGATGAATAAACACATCCATCAATAATAATAATAAAGCTGTCACTGAACATGACAGTTCTAACTTTTATGTCTTTGATCATTGATCACCACTCACCAGCAAATGACAAGTATAAGGATTTTAAAAAATTGTCTGAAAGGGGCCTACCTAGTAACACATGCATTTTGGAAATGTGACATTGGGCCAGCTTCCTTCTGGAGGACTTGGGGGGGGGGGGGTGGCAACACAGAAGCTAGGTCTCCTCTGGGAGTGTCCTGAGTGAAGTCCATTTGGAATGGGAGGCCACCCACCTTCCGGGTGCTTAAGAGATGCAAATAATATTGATAGAAGGGGATAGGGAACAAAAGGGCCCCTATGCCTCACACCTTTTGTGCCAAATCCTGGACTACTGGAAGGCAGAGCTCATCTAATCCAGCCATGGTGAGACTTGGTCCCAGAACAGCTCCAGGCACACAAACCTGCCTGGTTCTGGGGTGGGAGTGTGGGGGAGGGGGAGAACTCTGGGCAGGGCGAGGTGTCCTAATCCCAATAGTACTAACTATCCTTTATTTCCCCTCTTTCTAGGACAAGCTCAGTGGGACCAAGGCCCGGTGAGTACTGGGGCTCTTCTTTCTCCCACCCTCTTCTCTCGTCCCCCTTGCCCACCCCCTATTCCTCCTTCACTGGCACTGCTGCTCTAGGTGTGGTGCTGGCTCTGATTACTCCCAGCCCACATGACACCATTCATCTGCTTTTACCCATCAGTACTGGGGCTCCCCTGTCTCCCAGCTTACCTGGGGCACCAGGCCATCCAGTTGTGTTCCCCAAGGGCACTGGCTCTGCCCCTCTACCCCCAGGAACCCTCCCTCCCACTCTGCTGCCCCAGTCCAAGGCCACCATGTCACACAACTCTTGGGGGGGTAGGCATTCATGGTGATGGATATCAGTGTGACAGAGTGCAATGTCTATTTGACACAAACTCCAGAACCTTTTGAGCTAAGTTGAGTAGAGTCTGCTTGCAGGTTGGGGCCACCTCTTCCACCCCCCAGATGCGTGGGTAAGTGACACAGTAGACCAGAGGATTCCAGTACGTTAGGGGCCCCCACAAGTTCAGTATCTCTTGAGTGGCTGCGGACACGCATCTGCCATAGTCCTGCACTGCTGGGTTACTGGGGCTTAGCTCTCCCATTTGTCTTAGGGAAAGTCAAAGGTGTCAGGAGGCGTGGAACTGATATAGGTAAAACAAGCGACTGGGAGGCTCCCTTCTTTCTCGGGCCAACTCATTGGCCCTGCTGCCATGATAAAAATTTCCCTCAAGAATTAAGTTCCTAGCCAGGCTAGGCTCATGCCTATAATCCTAGATACTCAGAAGGCTGAGATCTAAGGATCGAGATTTAAAGCTACCCGGGACAGGAAAGTCTGTGAGATTCTTATCTCCAATTAACCACCAGAAAACCAAAGTGGTGTTGTGGCTCAAGTGGTAGAGCGCTAGCCTTGAGCTGAAGAGCTTAGGGACAGTGCCCAGGCCCAGAGTTCAAGCCCCATGACTGACAAAAAAAAAAAGAGTAAATTCTTGGCTGGGAATGTAGCTTAGTGGTAGAGTGCTTGCCTAACAGGCAGGAAGCCCTGGGTTCAATTCCTTAGTGCCACATAAACAGAAAAAGCCAGAAGGGGCCCTATGGCTCAAGTGGTAGAGTGCTAGCCTTGAGCAAGAGCAGCTCAGGGTCAGTGCCCAGGCCCTGAGTTCAAGTTCCAAGACTGGCAGAAGAAAGAAAGAAAGAAAGAAAGAAAGAAAGAAAGAAAGAAAGAAAGAAAGAAAGAAAGAAAGAAAGAAAGAAAGAAAGAAAGAAAGAAAGAAAGAAAGAAAGAAAGAAAGAGAAAGAGAAAGAAAGAAAGGGAGGGAGGGAGAGAGAGAGAGAGAGAGAGAGAGGGAGGGAGGGAGGGAGGGAAGGAAGGGAGGGAAGGGAAGGAAGGATAGGTTCCTGAAGCCTGGTGGCTCATGCTTGTAATTCTAATTACTCTGGAGGGTGAGATCTGAAGATCTCCATTTGAACCCACTAGGGCAATAAAGTACTTGAGATTCTTATCTCCAATTAACCACCAAAAAGCCAAAAGTGGAGCTATGGCTCTTGTGGCAGAGCACTAGCCTTGAGCAAAAAAGCTCAGGCATTCAGATCAAGCCCCAGGACTGCCCTAAACCTTCCCTCCTCCCCCAGGAGAACTGGTTTCTTTCTTTTTTTTTTGTCGGTCGTGGGGCTTGAACTCTGGGCCTGGGCGCTGTCCTTCAGCTCTTCAGCTCAAGGCGAGCGCTCTACCACTTGAGCTACAGCGCCACTTCCGGTTTTCTAGTGGTTTATTGGAGATAGGAGTCTCACGGTCTCTCCTGCCCGGGCTGGCTTTGAACTGCGATCCTCAGATCTCAGCCTCCTGAGTAGCTAGGATTACAGGCGTGAGCCACCAGTGCCCGACGAGAACTGGTTTCTTTAGTGGAGGATTAAAGCTCATTATTGGGTGGCGGTGGTGGGGGGTGGGGTGGGGGGGGGACATCAGACATTGTGCTAGAAGGAGGTGGGGTGGGAGGAGGCAAGGCCAGTCTGTCTGTCCAGATGCCTCAGCTTGGAGAGAGGATGCCCTCAGCTCATCTCCTCTGTCTACTCCAGAGACCTGGAGACACAGGGTAAGTTCAGCAGCTGAGATGGAGGCTGGGGGGGAGTGGGGGGAGGCAGCAGCCATCAGTGTCCTGGGCATGTTCCACCCTCCATCTCCTCTGTACCCAGCAGCACTTTCTGAAGGCCCAAGAGGAGGAGGAAGAGGATAAGTATGAGCTGCCCCCCTGTGAGGCTGTGCCCCTCAATCTGGCCCCTGCACACCTTGCGGGTGCTGAGGAGGAGTCCTTGTACCTGGGTGAGGGCAGGGAAGTGAGAGGCAGGGAGGTGGGGATTTGAGTAGAGAACCCAGGCCTTGCCTCTCCTCCTGCCTGAGCAGGGGCAGGGACAGGGTGGTCATGGGGCCTCTTGGCTGGGGCAGAGATGGAAGTTAGAAAAGAGTGACTGACAGGAGGAGGGAAAGGAGAGTAGGGAAGGCAGAGAATTGAGTGCCATGTAACCAAGGCAACGGCAGAAAAGCAGGAGGCTAGACCCTGGTCCCTAGGGGCCCCCAGTACCCCCTCTATGATTCTAGAACGTTCTCTGAGATGAAGGTACCATGGGTATTCCACTCCCACTGCTTAGGGTCTTGGCCAGGTCGGAGCAGGGAAGCTGGCTGCCTCCAGAGAGACAAGCTGTCAGAAGATAATAAGCTAAGGAGAGGGAAGGAGAAGGAAATGGAAGGATAGTTGGGAAGGAGCTGGAAGAAAATGGGAATCGACATGGGAGGGCCCAAAATACCTGGGGTCTTTTCCAGATTGCTCTGGCCCCTTCGGACCACCCAAGCCACCACCCACCATGGGGAGAGACCTTCCCCCAAGTCACTCCTTCTCCATTCACCCCACACCAGGCAACCATTTTCCGGTGAGTAAATTGTGAGAGGTAGATCATGTGCAAGAGCACTAACATTTGCATTCAAGAGAGCCCCAAAATCTCAGGTGCCAGAGACTTGAGAAGCCAAAGTCCTTTGGCCCTCCCAGCCAGCCTGACCTGCTACTCCCTCCCTCTGTTCTCCCCTGAGCTGGACCTAGGATTCTAGGTTCCACTGTACTCCCCTGAGCTTTGAGCTTGAGGACTCCATCCTGTCCAGAGATTACACAAGCCTCTCCATTTAGCTGCCAGTCAGTGCCAGATCCCAGTCCCACTGAGTCCCACACATGGACTCCAAAAGCTACCATTTTCATTCTATATTTTACTAGAAAAGAAAAAAAGGGGGCTGGGAAGGTGGCTCAGTGGTAGAGTGCTTGCCTTGCATGCATGAGGCCCTCGGTTCGATTCCTCAGCACCACATATGCAGAAAAAGCCGGAAGTGGGGCTGAGTCTCAGGTGGTAGAGCGCTGGTCTACAGCTGAAGAGCTGAGGGACAGTGCCCAGGCCCAGAGTTCAGGCCCCACAACTGACAAAAAAAAAAAGAAAAGAAAAAAAGGAGATAAGTGCACAGCCAAGAGCCACAGAAAAGCAGCTGAGAAAAATGTCCTTTTGGTACATTTCATCTTGAGCTTATAGTGGCAGGTTTGGTTTTGTTTGTTTTTGTTGGTTGTGGGGCTTGAACTCAGGGCCTGGGTGCTATCCCTGAGCTCTTTTGCTGGAGGCTAATGCTATACCACAGCTCTACTTCCAGTTTTGTGGAGATAAGTCTCACAGGGACTTTTCTGCCCAGGCTGGCTTTGACCTGCAATCCTCAGATCTCAGCCTCCTGAATAGTATGAGCCATGGGCACCCAGCAGGTTTTTGTGGGTTTTTTTGGTTTTGTTTTTTGTTTTGGTTGGTTGAACTCAGGGCCTGGGCACTGTCCCTCAGCTCCTCAGCTCAAGGCTAGCTGTTTACCACTTGAGCCATAGTGCCACTTCCAGTTTTCTGATGGTTAATTGGAGATAAGAGTCTCACCTACTTTCCTGCCTTGGGCTGTCTTTGAACCATGATCCTCAGGTCTCAGCCTCCTGAGTAGCTAGTATTACAGGCATGAACCATTGGTGCCTGGTTTTTGTGTTTTGTTTTGTCTTTGTGCCAGTCTTGTGGCTTGAACTCAAGGTCTGGCATCTGTCCTTTAGCTTTTTTTTTTTCCTAGTCCTGGACTCGAACTCAGGGCCTAGGCATTGTCCCTGAGCTTCTTTTGCTCAAGGCTAGCACTCTACCACTTGAGCCACAGTGCCACTTCCAGCCTTTTCTGTTTATGTGGTACTGAGGAATCCATTGGAGGGCTTCACGTATGCTAGGCAAGCACTCTACCATGCCTCAGTTTCCCTCCTCCCTCACCAGCTCCATTATGCCCACAGCTGAAGGCAGCAATGAACCCGCAGTTGACCACAAAGCCAGGACCTGCCTTTGGGAGTCGAGGTAAGGGACATGTCCTCTTTCCTCTCTCCACCCTGGGAGAGGTGGAGTTGGGTGTGCCTCACACTAGAGTCATCCTCTGCCATTCTGTTGCACCCTCCTGGCTGTAACTTCCTTTTTTCTGGCCAAGTTCCTGAGGTAGCATGGCTTCCAGTGTACAAATGAGACAGAGACCCAGAGATGTCAACTGCTGTGCCTGAGAAGGCATCAAAGCATCAAATCTGACCTGATGCTCCCTCTACAGCAGGTGTAGAATGTCTGGTACAGGGTCAGACTGGGGGGACCCCAGAATAAAGAGGTCAGAAGGGCAGCCTACTCTATCTCCAGTACCCTCTCTAGTGAGATATCTGTGCACCATTTCCCCAGCAAAGGGGACATCCTTGGGCCACCACTGACTTCATTCCCGGTCACTATTGCTATCACTGTTCAGGGACTTGCCCCTACGGTCAGTGCCTCTGAGGCTTGTGACCCCACAACTCTGGGATGTCAGGAAAGGATAGAACTCCAGGAAATTTTCCTGTCTGAAAGAGGATGTGGGAAGAGTGGCGTTGTAGTCCCTCCATCCTGATGGCTTCCTCCACCCAAGGTCAAACTGCTCACCTGAGGCACATTTGCTTAGCCCTACTGACCTTGAGGGTGGCTTTGAGTTTTGGCTCAACCCAGTCATCTGGAGCCAAGCCTGGAAAATCATTTGGGAGGTCAAGTTAGGTGACACTACAGCCTTGTGTAGGAAATGACAAGGAGAGGGGGATGGTTTCCTCCTGGAGTTTCAAAGTTGGCTCCAAGGACCCCATGTCCCAGCCCCTCCTCCCTGCTCCTCCTGACTGCTGCTTTCCTTCTTGCAGGGCGAGAGGTGATATCCAGAGTGGTGAGTAACCCCCCCATCCTCACTTTGCATTTTTGGGTTCTATCTAGAAAAGAGGCAGAAACACAGTAGGGGCTTGAGAAGGCCAGGAAATTCTCTTAGATCCCAGGAGAAAGGCCCCAAAGAGTCTTTCCCTTCTGCCACAGGCCCCTAGCAGGCAGAAGCCAGTTGTCCTAAAGGCACTGGCCAGAGCTCCTCTTTGACACCTGCATTCCCTGGCAGTTGTCACCTGTGGGTACCACTGAAGAGGAAGGTGTTCATGAGATGCTTCCTTCCAGGCAGAGGGACAATTTTAATCATTCCTCCTCAAAAGAGGATCAACTGACAAGGAGGGAATGTGGTCCACTGGAGCCTCACCTCCTGATCAATGGCTCTTTCCCTGACTGTCACCCTACTGCTTGTGGCAAAGGTCTGTTAGTCCTAGCCTGACGTCCAGGGCTGGGCAAACTCATGATCATACATACCCCTTCCTCCCTACCTTAGGTGGCAACAGGCCCTGCAAAGGATCAGGATGAGGATGTCTACCTGAAGTGTGAGCCTGATCCAGGTGAGGGCCTTCCTCCAAACCATCCTGCCCCACAGTCACCCTCCTGGTCCCACTTCTGCCCCTTACTGGTGTGCATGGGCCTTCAGATACTGCACAGACATCTTCAGCTCTCACTAGGAAGGTAGCTCAGTGGTAGAGCACTTGCCTAGCACATGCCAGGTGCTGGGTTCAATCACCACTGCTGCAAAACCAAACTAAGTTAAAAAAAAAAAATAATGAGCCTGGAGATGGTGGCTCATGCCTGTAATCCTAGCTACTAGGAGGCTGAGATCTGAGGATTTAGGCCGGGTTCAAAGCCAGCCCAGGTAGAAAAGTCCATGAGACATCTCCAATTAACCACCAGAAAACTGGAAGTGACACTGTGGTTCAAGTGGTAGAGCATTAGCCTTGAGCTAAAGAACTCAGGGATAGTGCCCAGGCCCAGAGTTCAAGCCCCATCACACACACACACACACACACACACACACACACAGGATAACCTTCACTTCTGCCTTTGGTCTGGGTTCATGCACCCTGTGCCTATTAGGGGGAGCCAACCCCTTAAAAGAAGGGCTGGGTGGAGCTTCTCGGCTGCTGTGTCCAGGCTAGCATCTCCCTCTAGTTAGAAGGACTTCCAGGGGCCCAGACAGCAGAGAAGACCCGGAAGCCATTCTTAGTCCCTCCCTGACCAGCCTTGATTTCCTTGCCTGATCCCAGGCCAACCTCAGCCTGCCTTCTCTGTTTCAGTCCCATCCTTAACTAGGTCTCTGAGCTCCAAAGCCCTGATGCCCCCAGTCCCTCTGCCAAGGACACCTGTGATTCCTAGGTAGGTACCTCACCAGATGCACATGTGCCTACATGAAGGAGAGAAAGCAAGAGAGCTTAAGAGAATGCTAACGCAGGCTGCCTCAGTCCTGACCATGAAATGGCAGTCTCATTCCATTGTCCTGGATCACTGACAGGGGTGGTAAGGGACGGTTGGAATACTGGCTCATTTCTGAAAGTGATGAGGACCCTGAGCTCTGCCCTGATTTGCTCCCTACAGGCCCAACATAGTACCCCAGGATGCCTGGAGTGTAAGAGGCTTGTGGTCAAGGGGAAACTGAACTGGGTAGGGGGAGAGAGAGAAGGGAGGCTCAGGGTGGGACTCGCTGCAAGGCCAGTGATCATCTGACCAGACCTCCTGTTTCCCAGGGAGCAGCAGATGTCACCTCTAAAGGTCAGTGCATACATCTCTGGATGGTTCTGCCCAAGCCTGCGGGCCGTAGACTCCTTCCTCACCCCTCTCCACTCCCCGACTTTGCAGCTGAGTCCAGCCAGGGTCAGGTTGGGGTGGCAGCAGTGTGTTGGGGTGGGTGAGGGGGATCCTCTTGGACATTTTCCAGAGCCTGCACCAAATTGGGAAGCTCCCAATTTGGGCCTCAAGGTCACATCTCACCTGGAAGTTTCCCAAGGCTGGGCTGGTGGGTCTTGGGAGGGTGTTGGACCTGGAGAATAGGAGTTCAGGGTGCTCCATTTTGGACTTCAAGTCTCCTGTACCTAAAGCTGTTCCTTGGAGCCTTTGCCTAACCCCTTCCAGGCCCTAACTCTGTAATTTCCTTCTTTCAGTGGGAAGGAAAGCCCCTCTTCCCTCCACAGCCCACCCTGGGAGCAGTTCAGCTGCCAAGGTGAGCAGGGGCTTGGGGGGCAGGCTGAGGGCAAGGCCTGTGGCGACCAGAGTCTGAGTCCTCACCCAGGACCCTCATGGCAGAGGCATGAATTACCACCACCAGAAATGTATGTATGTGTGCACCAGGCACAGACACAGCTTTGTTCTGCTTTTGGGGCTCAGTCTGGCGCTGGCAGATGTGAATGCAAACAACGGCACTCCAGGGTTCTCTGTTCCCCATTCAATTCCCTGGCACATCTCTGAGTGGCCTTGTGTGTGTGTGGTTGTATATAGGACAGTAGCCTGCTGGCCCAGCCTTGGTACTCAGGGAACTGTGACCGCCATGCTGTAGAGAGAGCCTTGCTCTGCTTCCAAAAGGTAGGCAGCTATAGACTCCTAAGTCTTCTCTGAAATCCTTGCTTCTCACAGGCTGTGGTGGGCTGAGCTGGCAGATGGAGGTCTAGAGAGGTTCTGGATCATCCTGGGTCAGGGCTGGGATGAGTAGTTGGGAAATAAGGTTCATGATTGGGGTCTCCTTCACAGGATGGGGCCTACACAGTGCGCCCCAGCTCAGGGCCTCACACTTCCCAGCCCTTTACCCTGGCAGTGCTTCTCCAAGGCCGGGTCTTCAACATTCCCATCCGGCAGCTGGATGGTGGGCGCCACTATGCCCTGGGCCGGGAGGGCAGGAACCATGAGGAGGTAAGTGCTTGCTGGAGGAGTTGGACTTCCCAAATAAGGAGAGTACAGAGACCAGCATTCTGAGCCTAGCTAAGAGCATATGTCTGGGGGGAAATCCAGTTGGCATTTTCTTTTTTTTTTTGCCAGCCCTGGGGCTTGAACTCAGGGCCTGGGTACTGTCCCTGAGCTTCTTTTGCTCAAGGCTAGCACTCTACCACTTGAGCCACAGCACCACTTCTGGCTTCTTCTGTCTATGTGGTTATGAGGAATCGAACCCAGGGCTTCATGCATGCCAGATGAGCATTCAACCAGTAAGCTGCATTCCCAGCCCCCAGTTTGCATTTTTCTAGGGCAGGTTGAAATAACAGGAGCCTGTGGCTTAAGCTTCCTAGATTCCTGGCACTTTGAGAAGAGGTATTCCCTCTGGCTATGACTCCCATCTGCACACGGTTGAGGTGGGGCATTTGTACTTACAACCTAATGAGGAAGGCAGGATCCAGAGTCCAGACTCCTGCCTCTCTGCCCATCTCAACTCAATTTTATACCCAGCATTTGCTGGGCAATAAGGTAGAGATGATAACCTAGCATTCAGCTCCAGGCACAGCAGGGCCTGAAAGTTACTTTTACTTGGCCTTGGAAACCCAAGGCTAGCCAACAATGATCACAGGAAAGTTGTAGGAGGTTTAAAGTAGGGCAGCATCTTTCAGAGACAATCTGCCCCCTTACCAGTCATCTTTGGAAGTTGCTGGACATGTGAGGCTCACAAAACTCATGTGCCAGGTGCTGGTGGCTCATGCCTGTATTCCTAGCTACTCAGGAGGCTGAGAGCTGATGCTAGCCTGTGCAGAAAAGTCCATGAGACTCTTCTCTCCAATTAACCATCAAAAAGTCAGAAGTGAGGCTGGAAATATGGCTTAGTGGAAGAGTGCTTGCCTAGCATGCACAAAGCCCTGGGTTCAATTACTCAGCACCACATAAACAGAAAAGGCCAGAAGTGGTGCTGTGGCTCAAGTGGCAGAGTGCTAGCTTTGAGCAAAAGAAGTTCAGGCCCTGAGTTTAAGCCCCAGGACTGGGAAAAAAACAAAAACAAAAACCCCAAACCAGAAGTAGTGCTGTGGCTCAAGGCAAAAAGTTCAGAGAGAGAGCATCCAGCCTCTGAGTTCAAATCCCAGGGCCAGAAGATGATAGATAGATAGATATCAATATGAATTGTTGATATGGCACTAGTGGTAGAATGCCAACTTTGGGTGGAAAAAAAAAAAAAAAACCCAAGGAGAACTCAAGGCCTCGAGTTCAAGCCCTAGTACTGGCACAAACAAAACAAAACAAAAATTCATGGTTGCCCTACCTCTTTGTGTAGGTCTTCTCTTCCGTGACCACCATGGTTCAGCACTATTCGAAGCATCCCCTGCCCCTGGTGGACAGACACAGTGGCAACCGGGAACTTGCCTTCCTGCTCTTCCCCCTCAAGCCTTAAGGCCATGCAACAAACACACCCATCATTGGCCCAAAGGGTGTGCCTTCATCTTCTGGACACCACCTCGGGCTGCCTTCTCTCCCTCTCTAGTCTCTACCACTCCACTCCCTGTAGGCCCCAGATGAGAGGCACTGGGCAAAGGTTGCCCATAGAGACAAAGGACCTTGGGGATGCTACCTAATGTACATCCAGAGCCTCCCGGCTGCATCCCTGAGACCCTCCCTCCACCATTGCTAGTTTCAAGCAATGACATGGTCTGCCATAGTACACTCCCCTCCCTCTCTCTCCTTATCCTCTCCCCGCCCCCCACCCCTCTTCTCTGCAGGACTGAGGATTGAACTCTGTGTCTTCAAGCTTGCTAGGCATATACTCTACAACTTGGGCCATGCATGCCCCCCTCCCCCACCTTTTGCATTTTATGTATTTTAGCTTGCTTTTCAGCTAGTTTTCTTGCTAAGTTTCCCATGGGCCAGCCTCCAACTGCAATCCTCCTGTATCTGCCTCTTGAGTAGCTGGGATTCATTACAATCTTATAGTTATCACCAGCATAGTACACAATAAATATTTGTTGAATGAAGTCTTGAATCTGCTAAGAGAAACTGCAGTGGCCCCCAGGAAGCCTCCATGGTTCTCAGTTTCACAGAGCACTCAGGCTAGAAGTGATGGAGCCAGGGTGGACTGTACCACCGCAGAAGGGAACATATTTCTAACAGATTAGGACCTTTGCTTCTAAATGTGTTGTGTCGGGGCTGGGAAGGTGGCTCAGTGGTAGAGTGCTTGCCTTGCATGCATGAAGCCCTGGGTTCGATTCCTCAGCACCACAGAAAAAGCAGGAAGTGGTGCTCTGGCTCAGGTGGTAGAGAGCCCTGAGCTGAAGAGCTGAGGGACAGTGCCCAGGCCCAGAGTTCAAACCCCACAGCCGATTAAATGACTAAATAAATGTGTTGTGTGCCAAGGAGGATGAAGGGCAGCTGCTGGTTTTTGTTTTGTTCTGCTTGTTGGCATCAGAGGGAGGGAGGGAAGGGAGGCCCAAAACTGCCTCCTCCATCCCTCTAAAGGAGAATGGAATCCATTAACGACTGTTCTCCACCTACTAGCCACACAGGACTCCCGGGAGGCGTGTGAGAAGGTTGATTTTTGAGCCCTGGGAATGGTCGAGGGTTGGGGAAACTGAGGGCCCCAGCAAACAACCGGACTCTGGGCAATCTAGTGTTGGAAGAAAAGCCAGGGAACACTGAAGCCCGGGCGCTCAGAGATGAACGTGGGGGGTGGGGGTGGCGGTCCGCCCCAACCGGGAGGGTCCAGGCGGGGCTGCGTGTCGGGGTAGGGCGTGGGCCTGGAAAGCTGGCGGGGGGGGGGGGGGGGGGGGGGGGGGGGGGAGGGAGGCGCCCCTCGAGGGGCCGACGGCCGGCAGAAGGGGAGCGGGGCCGGGGGCGGGGGCATCTCCGAGCCCTGGCACGCCGCCTGGAACACCCCGTGCCGGAAGCGCCATGTGACCGTGACTCTGCACACGTCCTGAGCGCCAGGGGGAAACAAAGGGCAGCGCTGCGGCCCCCATCCCCTGCGCGCGCGGGCTGGCACCGAGCGTCCCGCCCGCACCCCGCACCCCCACACCGCCCGTCCTCCCCGCCGATCGCAGGCTCCGGCGCGGCAGGGGGAGTGGGGGGGGGGTCCTCGGGGAGCCTTATGCGGGAAGGACTGCGCGCGCACACACTCACATACGCGCACACACACACGCGCGCGCGCGCCTGGGCGGGGTTGGGGTCCTGGCGCGTTCTAGCTGGCGCGCTGACGTGCGTGCCCGACTCCCGCGGATCACCATCTGGGCAAGAGTGGAAAGATCATTGTTCCCGCACAATCGTCTACCCCTGCCCAGGAGGCTTGAGTGAGGCCTTCTATTTAAGAAGGGTCGAAGGGCGGCCCTGCAGCGGCCCTCCTCCCAAACCACAGCCCGTGAATTCAGGTCAATTACTCACCACCCACCCAAGTCCCAGCGGGGAGACCATTTCGGGGTGGGGTGCCCGGAAGGGGCTGAGGATGGGGCAGCAGATGGATGCTGAGGGGATTAGCAGCTGGGGACCTCTAATGGAAGCTGGGTAGGCGGCCAGGGTACTCTCCTCCGCTCCATTAGCCAGCCCAACGGCCCTCCGTGGCAGGAGGGGCTATCTCCTCCTCTTCTCCAGCCTCACCTGTATAGTTTGGCAGGCTGGCAATTCTGGGGTGGTCCGATCCTACATTCAGTCTCTCTTTGCTAGCTCTACTTTCTAGGAGAGACCCCACATTCCAAAATCATAAAGGCCCCATGGCCTGGTTTTACTGAGTTCTGAGTTTTGTCCCCAAGGTCAAAGCCACTGCCCTTGAGCTTTCGAGTTAGTGGCCACAGGAAACCTCTTTGCTTGTCCTATCTGAGAGACCCACTTCAAGGAACTGCTGCTCTCCATTATTCTCTTCCCTGAGGAAAAGATGAGGAGAGCAATCCAAGTAAGAGTAGGAGGGGAACGGGGAGATAGGATCAGAAAAGAGGAAGGCCTCCTCACCTCACAGGTCTCTACAGATGTCCCCTTTTCCAGGGGGACCCTCTGTTTAGTCTAGCCCATCCCACCTCATCCTCCCCTGTCTGGGAGCTGGTACTTGAGGCACCCCCTCTAAACCACCTTTTCCCTCCCAGGACCCACCCATGTGCTACTCCAACTGTTGAGTATTTGAGGCCCTGGATACAGTAAAGGGAGAGACAATATTTGTCAAAAGATTTGAAACTAGGCCCAAGGCCCAAAGTCTAGGAGTCCCAAGTTAGGTTCAGCTACTTACGCTCATGTGCCAAATAGACATGGTGAAGGGCAGAGAAAGATTTATCCCATGGCAGCCATGGGAAGCCAGCACTTCAGCACATCTTCACCATCTTCAAGGGGATATATGGACAGCTTTAGGTTAAATAGAATTAGGGGCAGGTGGTGAGAAAAATATGCATAGTTAAAACAGCCCAGGTCACAGGTGTGTAGTCCAGTTGACCATTATCTCAGTCTTTGTCCTTGAAGTTAGTTGTTCCAGAGAATTGTTATCACTTTATTGTTGGAACAGAGCTTGAACAAGGTGGTTTCTTGAGTTTGGGGCTGTTTTCTTTAAGATGATAAAAAGTTGTTGCCTGTTGAAGGGCCAGATTTCCTTCCACTCAAGACGCAGTTATCACTGATTTTTCTCTTCCCTACTGCACCTTTAGATGCAGCAGAGAATACTTCAGATCAAAGAGTACTAACTAGGTCAAGTCTATCCTGGGTTCCACTAAACTGATAATCAGAACTTCCTTTGTTAAAAGTCCAACAGAGTGCTATTCAAAAGGGTTTTCTGTGATGATAAAAAGATATTAAGCATGACTTAATATTAAACCCAGTTGTTGTTTACTAATTTAATTAACCTTAAATGTCTGTAGCCACATGTGGTTGGTGATCATCATATTGCTCCAAGTGTCTTGAGGATGGCAGGTTCTAGGTCTGTAGCCTAATAGGCCCAGCAAGGAATATGGATACTGGGGAGTCATTGAGGGTATATACTGTGGTGGGGTATCAGAGGGTATCAGATGGATGGTATTTTAGGAACATCCTGCTAGCTGTGTCATGCAGAATGGCTAGAGGGGCAGCAAAGAGTCTAGGAGAACAGTTAGGGACTGCAGCTATTTCTGCAATTCAGGCCAGCTAATACCCCCTGACTTTTTACCATGCTAATATCCTAGTGATAGGAATTAGCAGAAATGCAGACCTCTATAACTTGCAGATGGAAAGATAGGTGATAAACCAAAACCTCCCTGACAATGAAATGGGGGCAGAGGGCTACAAAAGAATGAGAAAGTAGCTGGGCATCGGTGGCTCATGCCTGTAATCCTAGCTACTCAGGAGGTTGAGATCTGAGGATCACAGTTCAAAGCCAGCAGGGCAAGAAAGTCTATGAGACTCTAATCTCTATCAGAAAACTGAAAGTGGTGCTGTGGCTCAAAATGGTAGAGCACTATCCTTGAGCAAAAGAACTCAGGGACAATGCCCAAGTCCCATAATAGACAAAAAAAAAAAGGAGAAGGAGGAGGAGGTGGTAAATGAAGACTATATCTGACATCACAACCTTACAGGAAACAGAAAGGAACTTACCAATGAGAAAGCCATATGCTTCTCACTAACCATAGGTCAAGATAGCAGACATAGACATGTTAACTGTGGGCTTCTCTGTGGTGCATTTATGCCACGTGCTTTCTTTATCTTATTTCTTTTCTTTTTTCTTCTTCTTCTTTTTTTTTTTCTGTGTCGGTCGTGGGGCCTGAACTCTGGGCCTGGGCGCTGTCCCTCAGCTCTTCAGATCAAGGCTAGCACTCTACCACTTGAACCACAGCACCACTTCTGGCTTTTTCTGCTTATGTGGGGCTGAGGAATCTAACCCAGGGCCTTAGGCATGCAAGGCAAGCATTCTACCACTGAGCCACCTTCCTAGTCAATCTTATTTCTTTTGTGATAATTTTTCTATCATATTTACTTATGTTCATGTCTTGGTTGAATTCTTCTGTTGCCAGATGCAAGGACCAATGTTGTTTAGCTGCTCTAAACTTTCTGGCAAAACTACCTTGCATGCCATTCACATTTCCTATAGTAGAAAAGCCATAGTCTAAGGAATTCCAAATAGGGTCACCAATGTGTATGGAGGAATCAAATCTTTGAGACATGCCATTTGGTAAAGAAGCCCAGGTATGACAGGTATGTTTTGTCTGTCTCCAAGGACACCTAGGGCGAGAGGAGCCCAGGCAGTATATAGTTGGTCAAGACTTAAAACCATGGCTATCATCCTGGCCAAATGGGTTCAGAGTGTGGTCTAAACAATCATCCTAAACTTTCAGCTGTCTTTTGTGAAGAGACAGCCTGACCAGGGATGAAAGCTTCAGCAGAGAAGCTGGGTGCTAATAGTTCATTCCTGTAATCCTAGCTACTCCAGGAGGCTGAGATCTAAGGATTTTGATTTGGAGT